AGCTTTCTAAGGATGCGCCATATCATTTTCCAAAATGGTTGTATCATTTTGCATTCCCACCAGCAGTGCATAAGAGTTCCAATCTCCCCGCAGCCCCTCCAACATTTGTTATTTCCAGTGTTTTTGGTTTGTGCCAGTAATGTCAGGGTGAGATGATATCTCATTGTGGTTTTAATTTGCATTTATCTAATAGCTAGTGATGGCAAGCATTTCCTCATGTGTCTGTTGGCTGCTTGAATGTCTTCTTTGGTGAAGTGTCTGTTCATTTCCTTTGCCCATTTTTTAATAGGAGTATTTGTCTTTTTCTTGTAGAGGTGTTGGATTTTCTTGTAGATTTTGGAGATTAGACCTTTGTCTGACCTGTCCTGTCCAAAATTTTTTTTCCCAGTCTGTAGGTTCTCTTTTCTTTCTTTTTTTTTTTTTTTTTTTTTTTTTACTATTACTTGACCCTTAGATTGCAACAGAAAAGATTTATGTTATAGGAAGTTGGAAAAAATAAAAACAATAGTCAACACTTTTTAAGCACAGACTGGCAGAGCACATGGATTAACTTATTAACTCCTCACAGTGATCCTTGGAGGTAAGTTCTATGATTAGCCTTATCTTACGGATGACTAGCCGCACACTCACATAAAGTAATGTGCCCAGAGTTATACAGCTACTAAATGACAGTGCTGAGATCTGAACCCAGGTATTCTAGTTCCAGAATCTGTATTCTTAATCACTATGCTATGCTGAAAGGAGCCCTCGTGGCTCAGTGGTTAAGCACCTGGCAACTAACCAAAAGATCAGTGGTTAGAACCCACCAGCTGCTCCATAGGAGAAAGATGTAGCAATCTGCTTCCCTAAAGATTATAGCTTTGGAAATCCTATGGGACAGTTCTTTTCTGTCCTACAGGGTCTCTTTGAGTCAGAATTGACTCGCCAACAGGTTATGCTATGCTGGATACATCCTGCTATGTTTTCTAAGGTGATGATAGAGTCACTTACGTTTATTTTGGAGTGACAGCTACAATTTGGGGTCAGTTTGGGTGTACAAGAATTATGTGGAAGTTTTTTTTTTTTCCCCAACATTCATTCCAATCCTTTGTCTAAGATATCTTATATACACTTAGGTACTGAGAGAGAATCTGACATATTTTAGCGAATAACATTTGTTCAAGACCAAAATTCTGAATAATTAAATGATTTTATTTCCTAGGCTATGCTAACAGAGATCGAGCACAAGGTGGCTTCTCTGTTGGACAGCTGCAAAGATCAGGGCTTGGGGGATAGTGGAGACATTCAACAAGAGGCTGAAGCACTTTCCTTGAAATTAAAAACTGTGAAATGTAATTTGGAAAAATTCCAGATGATGCTTCAGGAGAAATACAGTGAGGATCAGGTAAAATATGGCTATATATGTGTGTATGTCAATATGCACATATGATAAGGAACCCTGGTGGC